TGGCTTAAGTTTTATTCGATTTACAAACACGGAAAAACAAGAAAAAAATTAGGTCCGCGTTTTACAAGTCTGCGTTTTACTAGTCCGCGTTTTACTAGTCCGTGTTTTACTAGTCCGCGTTTTACTAGTCCGCGTTTTACTAGTCCGCGTTTTACTAGTCCGCGTTTTACTAGTCCGCGTTTTACTACTCCGCGTTTTACTAGTCCGCGTTTTACTAGTCCGCGTTTTACTAGTCCGCGTTTTACTAGTCCGCGTTTTACTAGTCCGCGTTTTACTCGTCCGCGTTTTACTAGTCCGCGTTTTACTAGTCCGCGTTTTACTAGTCCGCGTCCAGTCCGCGAAATACCATATGCCCTTCTTATCGCACAATCTACCCTGAAAATATCGCACAATTGCTGATTTTTTATCGCACTCTATCAGATGCTCTGTTTTCAAGATCAAAAATAGATACATACAGAAGACATGGAATCGCAACCTAGATGTATTTTGCTGTGACAATGCAAAACTATATGTGAAAAAAAAGGAAGTTGAATGTTTTCTTTGTCCTCAGTTCCTAACATCCCTACACAAACTGTAAGGTAATTCATAAATGGTGACAGATGTGGTACTGTATATGTAGTATCAGGAACAAAGATTGCAGACCATTTTCCAACATAAGATTTATTCACGGTAGAGTCAAACTAAAGAGGGAGCTAGATCATTACATTGTATGGAACGTTTCATAGTCAAAATTATCCTTTGAGGAAAATTAGTTCCTACAGTGACAACTGATGGGAAGGCTGTACACAAATCTCATCAGTTTATCCTTATTTACCTACTCTTACAATTTTGAGAGCTTCAGACTATTTCAGCCAGCAAGGGTATAATTATTTATCTTCTCTTACATGCCTATGCTCTAGCAGCATCTGGTGGCCCCTGGCACCTTACTTTTGCTCCTGGGTGAACCTTAGCTTTTTCATGAAAAAAGCTATTGCTGGGCACCTTGGATTTCACAATTTCAGAGCACTGGGCTCCCTTCAGTTTTTCTTAGAGCACAGCCTTGTCTTAATTTTCTCTCTAGGGGACTCAGTTGCCTCTAACATTAGTTTATCTTAGCAGGCTGATAAATTCAAAACTTAAAACCTTAGTTGATGTCTATTTCTTTTCTCTTTTTTTACACAGTGAATGTTGCCCTTGGAAAGGCCACCTTTCAGTCTTCAACATTTAACAATACTCAGTTGGGTGTGTCAGGTGTGTCAGAGAAAGCAGTGGATGGTAATTCTGATACGGGGTTTAAAAGGGGAAGCTGTACACATACTCAGCAAGACAATCCAAGCTGGTGGAGAGTTGACCTGGGTTCAAATAAGGTGGCAGTCTCTGACATATTCATAGTGAACAGATTTTCAGCATCTACTGTTGTGATGGCCAGAAGTGAAAACTATAACATTACATTGGGTGAGAAGTCACTATTAACACCTTTTATGTAATCAGGATGAGATAATTTTAAAATAAAAGGGTACAATAAAAGTATTACACTATAGCATTTGCAGTGTGCAACATTGGAAAATCACTGACAGTTTTTTTTTTTGCTCAATATCCACTGTTTCTATGCAGAAGTTTAATTGTGCACAAGCACATGTATCTACAGTATTATGTAAAATAATATTAAAGAAAAGGGTTGTAGAGGGAGTTATATGGCTTTTTTTTAATAGTCTTAAATTGTGGTTATCAAAACCCAATTTAGAGGAGAAAAAGTATATATTATTGGTGAAGTGCATTTTATAGATTAGTTTGTCACGTTTTTGCATTAATATGAACTGCATGCTATTCTTTTATAATATCAGGCAATGACCCACAAGTAGTAAACAACCCTCAGTGTCAAGGACTCTACAGTTTTGTTAACTTCATAGCATCAGCTGTTTGTTTCACCAACCCACTGACAACTGGCAGATATGTAGGGATATCAGTAAAGGAACAAAGTCTTACACTCTGTGAAGTGGAAATCTATTTGCGAGGTACATGTACATGTCACTAAACACAGAGATTGGTATTGAGTTTAGAGGATGGTTGTTGCAAGATTTTAAAAGTTTTGTCGAAGTTTGGTGACACCAATAGTTCCAAAATCATTTTTGACCACAATAATGTGGTTGAATACTGATTAACATAGTTGCTACTCTCATTTCAGATAATCTTGCATTTGGAAAACAAACAAATCAAAGTAGTGAAGCGTTTAGTGGTGCAAGTAGCAGGGCAGTTGATGGTATAAGTAACCCAGACTATTTTGCTAATAGCTGTACCCACACTAAAAGTCACCCGAACCCTTGGTGGAGAGTTGACCTGGGACAAGTTGAACCAGTTTCAGAAATATACGTAGTCAACCAAGAAAATTTTCCATGGTTTCAGAGACAGAATAATTTTGAGATCAGAGTAGGTAGGTTAGATCACTTTTTGAAATATTGTTACTTTACTGTGAGGTCAACATGCATCGATCCTTTCTCATAACGTTGGTAATGTAATATGTGACTTCTCACGCGAAAACGTTCCTAACGGTAGCCGTCTGAACAGTGAACGAAACGGCAAGTGAACGGGTGACGAACGGCTTGGAAAGCCGTTCGAAACGGATACTATGAACGGATGAACGGCTAATTAAAATTTTCGAACGGATGACGTCAAATGGATGAACGGCTAGTGAAAAAATTCGAACGGACAAGGTTGAACGGGTGAACGGCTCATTAAAATTTTCGAACGGATGAGGTCGAACGGATGAACGGCTAATGAAAATTATCGAAGGGATGAAAGGCTAATTTTTCGAACACTGAGATGAGCCTCACAGATGAGATCAAATGGATAAACGGCTAAGCGGTCGAACAAGTGATGGCCAGTAGAAATTATTTGAACAGATGGTTTCATCAAAACGAATGCTGACACAAGCGTCCCAAGCTCTTGTCTTGAGCCAAAGAGAAGGATTATTTCATTAAAGCGTCACGCGTTGGGTGACGCGGTGTTAAGTAACGCAAGGTATTTGACACAATCTGTGAAAAGATAACTTGAAACGAGTCGAAACTCACTTGTTTGAATAACTCGACTTCGCTTTCGGCGCATTCAAATGGATATAATTAATATTTTTATCATTGAATTTGACCGATTAAGATAAGGTACAACCAAGGAACTTGCACGCGAAAAGTATAGTTCTCAACTTCAATTCGGGTTTAAATTTCCATAATCCCAGCTTCCGTGTCACTCCATCAAAAATGAGTTGCCTTGGTAACTGCTAACAACTTGTGTCAATTACTGCCATTTCACACAATCACAAAATGGAGAATTCAACGAGAGAAGATATGGATTGCGATCACAGGGAAAATGTTTCTACCATCATTGCCAAAGTGCGAAGTGAACGGTTGATGAATTTTCTCAAACGGATAGCTCGAACCGTTCGAACGGATGATGAATTTTCAAGAACGGATAGCTGGAGGCATTCAAACGGATTATGAATATTCAAGAACGGATAGCTAGAGGCGTTCGAACGGATGGTTAAGTTTCTTAAACGGATAGCTCGAACGGTTCGAACGGATGATGAATATTCAAGAACGGATAGCTTGAGTCGTTCAAACAGCATGCCAATCCAGTCGAACGGCCGATGAACGGCTGGTGAACGGCTATGCATTTAAAAACGGCTAACTGTTCGGAACGTTTTCCCGTGAGAGGTCACATATAGTTTTCAAATTGTCGTAACATTTCAGGATGTGGTGGAATTGTAGAAGCTGAACTCTGGATCAGAACATCCAGTTTCTAGCCTTGGCTTTGCAACGCAATCTGACACTGAAAGCTTTACTCTTATTAATTTTTCCCTTTAAACTGAGGATTACACAATGTTAATGGATGCTGAACAGAAAACACTAGCTATAAAAACTAGTTCCTCTTTCTGTTATGTTTTCATCATATAAACTTAAGGGCCAAGCTGTTTTAAGGCTGAACAGTCCTTTTTACAGTTGTGGGCTTGGTGGCCAAGCCTTTGAACAGGAGTGAGGCTAAGGGGGACCTTGTTATGATACAGATGTTGCTGCTTTTCAAATGCAACTTTCTTTGTTATCATGCTAACTAGATACTGGTCTCTATGACAACAATGTCAGTCCCTCAGTCTCACTTCAAATCAAAGGCTTGGCAACTATAATTAGTACACAACTGTAAAATGGTCTATTAAAAATAATGCTATTTAACAAACACATAACAGTGTCTTGGATACCAATGTATCCTGCCTTTTAACAACCAGGGAAAGAGGAATAAGCTAATTAACCTCAAGTGATTTGTGATCTCCAGTGATGTTAGCCATCTGGCTTCTTGTGACACTCTCATGTCATTTTGTGTAACAATAGTAGGGTAAACAAGTTCTTGATTACGTTTCCTACTAAAGCTGAAATTGTTTTGCATTTCTCTTCAGGCACATTATCTGATAATGGAGGAACTACCAATCCTAGGTGTGGTGATAAGAAGGGTTACAGTCTACCACAAGGAAAAGGTGTATCCTTTTACTGTCGTCCTGTTAAATTTGGAAGATATGTGACTCTAAGAAGTTTAAAAACTGGCTCAGATGCCTTCACACTTTGTGAAGTTGAAGTTTATTCTGAAAGGAGAGGTAACACATCTCATTTATTTTTCCACTATATTTGACAAACTCACACTAATTGAAGTCTTTAGTCATTGCACAGGGGAGCTATTATATTAATGAGCACTAGTTCTATTTCTAAATGCATTGCCTTTATGATCTTTATCATTTTCTGAACATGACTGATATGAGCCTGATTTAATTTAACCTGTACCCACAATTTGAACTTAGTAAACTCAAACTCCTTCTGAGCTCAATCTTATGGCCATTTTCCTTGATTTCTTATATCATGCATTTACTATTAGAGTATTGAGAATATTAATTTACCCCCACTACATCAACTCAATTCTTGATTCATAATTATAATAATAATAATAATTTAATATTTATATTGCACAAATTAACATGTGGATATGATCAAATGCGCATCACAACAGTTTTCAGGGGACTTTGACCAGACTGCATCAGAAGTTTACAAACAATCAAAGGAAACTTATTTGAAGATGCCCCCTTCCCCCAATTCCCTGTAAACAGACCAGCTAGACCACATCACAGTAATCTCATGAGTGGGTTCTTAAAGTCCCCTGCCTATCCAAATTAACTAATTAATGGATGCAGGAGACATTGCATTTGTGAGAGTTAGTTAGAGGGCTTTTTGCTGTCATACTGTAGCAAATACGCATGAAAACTTTTATGCTATAGCTGGTTCTCAGTGAGAAGACTTTACCTTACAATAAAACCATTCCTAGCCTTTACTCTGATATAATTATTAATTTAAGGTGACAGTTCTTATGCTATATGCTTTTACTGCAGTAACTGCATGCAGGTACAATTTAAAAGAAATTTAACTCTTCAAACCTTAAATGTGAAGTGAAAAACATCAGTACAATGTGAAACATATAGCATATGACATTGTTGTTAGTTTGGTGTTAAGGACAGAAAAAGAAATACCCAGATTAATACACCTAATTATATTATATTCAAGTGAAAACCAATGGAGCATTATTTTGTATTAACCGAATCCTATACACAAGTAAAAATTAGTTTTCGATTGGTAGGTTTGCTGTCTTCTTTGTGTGTGTTGCATATATTTGCCTTTTTGATTGATCTGTTTATCAATTTATTATGACTGATTTCAGCTTGCCGAATGCAAGCCATTGGTGTGGCTAGCAATGACATACTCCCTGATTCAAGCTTCTCGGCATCAAGTGAGAGTACAGGTTTTGAAGCTTTTAAAGGTCGACTGCATGCAGTTAGGGGATGGTCACCCGACAGAAATAACAGACCTGATGATTATCTGCAAATTGACCTGCAGTATGAGTTTCTTCTTTGTGCTGTAGCTACTCAAGGAAGGTCAACATATGATGATTGGACAACAGAGTACAAATTACAGCTCTCCTTTGATGGTTCCACTTTTGTGACCTACACAGAAAACAATGTTGACAAGGTTGGTTGAAAAGGCCACAGCAGAGATGTAATACAGAGTTGTACAAGATTATAATATCTTAGAGGTACCAAAAGGAGATTTCAAAGGTCATGTGAGGACTCTGAACTTCGAACCCCAAAGAATTAGCTTGTGGAATCATTTTTGTGTTCTTAGACTTCAATAAAAGGTTATGATACCACATGAGATTTAAATAAATATGAGCATACTATTTTGGGTGGAAGGGAACACGTCTGGAGACTTTGTTGTCTAGCATTAGAGCATGACAGCTAGTTGTCAGGGAGTTAATAATTGGTGATGTTTTTCTAGTCTGCCATGCCATCAACAATAGAATTGATCACAGTTAAATTGTCAACTGATATATTTGTTTTAGATTTTCAGTGGCAATTCTGGAAGACATGACATTGTCAAACATAACCTCAAAGATATGAGGGCAAGGTTCATCCGTTTCCAGCCTGTAAACTTTAAGAGAAAGAAAGCTTTGAGAGTAGAAGTGTATGGAGTACTTATATCTAAAGGTAAAATATTTTTATTTGATGTCAACAAATTTTTACCCTCTGCAATTTTAAGGCTGCGGCATAATGGTTAATTTATTACTTAGCCTTACTGTAATACATTGTATTACAGTAAGGCGAACACTCTCCGTAGGCAAAAATCTGGTAGGCACAATTAAGAAGTGCTATTTTCTACAAATGGCCTTAACCTATGACTCCTTATTATGGGGGTGGATCTGTATTATATCCATGTCAAATGGTGGTGGTAGCAGTCTGATCTGAAGGGGTCTACAAATTGGAAGTTGATATGTTTAAATCAGTTTTGAGATTACATTCTGTTCTCTTGCTCCCAACAGTTCCTTTTAAAGAGCTATAAATTAATGCTTCTATAACAATACAAGACTTTTCACTAACTGTAAGAGAATCTTAGTGTGAAGCTGGGGCTGGTTTAAATGATCATTGAGACCATAACAATTTATTTTTAAGCAGTAAAAATGAAGAATATAAATTAATAGCTTTGTTACTAATATTATGTATTTATTTTATTATTTATTGTTTTGATCATCATTAATATCATTGCTATTATTCAATTATCATTCTGTCTTAATTTCAGTGCCCTCACAAGCACCCAGTAACTTGACTTTATCTGCAAGCTCCTCTACAAGTATTTCAGCATCCTGGCAGTTACCTCTTGCATATTCCAGACATGGAAGCATTACAGGATTTAAACTATCCTACAAAAAGAAAGGGTTTATGGGGTCAATGACTGTGTCAACTATCAATAGTGGAATCACCTTTTCTGGAAGTATTACTGGTCTGGAGAAGTACACAGAATATGAATTTCAAGTGCTGGCTTTTACATCTCATGGTGATGGACCAAAGAGTTCTGTTGTGGTGGAAAGAACAACGGAAGATGGTAAGAAACTTCATTGTAGCAATTATACTAATCCACTCTTGGTTTGTTCTTGAAGCCCTATCATTGTGAAGTTGGGTTGGAATGAAGGGGCAATAATTTTATGTTTGATTTTGCATTTATGCTGCAATCCCGACAAAATATAAAAAGATTGTTAATCCCTAAAGTCTGATCATCAAATTTCCCTGTATAACTTAGTCAGCAGGGCCCAGTTGTTCGAAGGCCGATTAGCACTAATCCAGGGTTAAATTTTAATCCAGGTTTCTATATTTTTCTGTTCAGGAGCCGTTTTGGGAAAAAATTTCCAATACTTTTCAGACTCATTCAGTCATCTAATTTTAGACAAGTGGAATTAAACTACATTTTCTTTCAAAGCTCGCTTTCAAATCTGAAATCAAATTTTACACTAACCCTGGGTTATCTTAACCCACCTTTGAACAACCCTGTCCAGAAGATCAGTTTTTTTTTTCACTCTATCCTTGTCACCACTTTTTGTGTTCTGAAATTGTTAAGCAAAATGCTTTCGTGTTTCTTATTTTATATCAATGTCAGTATCTGAGCAACCAACCTACCCTCCCCTAACTCACTATTAACCCTAACTTAAATGCTATCAGCCTGCTGTTTTTGGGTTGGGGGAGGAATGGGTGGGTGGGTAGTTTTCAGATATTGACATTGAATTATTATTTTTGTAAGTTTATGGATTATACTCACTGTGGCAAACAAAGGTGTAAAAGTGTATAACATGCATGTGCTCTATAAAGGTTATAGTGAGTGACACTGCGTTTGGATTTCTTACAATGTATGTCTGAAATTTTAAACTTGTTTTAGAACACTGCTGTTTTTGTAACGATAATAACAGCTAACACCTACCTTAGTTTAGGTGCCCAAGGGGCCAGGGGGCCACAACCACAGTCGCACCCACGGCATTTAAGAACTGGCTGGCCTGCCCAACCCGCAACCCAGCCATGAGACCCCAGCCCGAAGTCCCCCTACAGCCACTTGTCACACTAGAGCTTGATTGCTCAACTGAATAAATAAATTACCAGTAATAAACACCTGGACAAGGGACCTAGCATTGGGGATGGGAGGGAGGTGCTGCTGAGAAGTTATCCTTAAGGACAATAGCACCATGTTGTAGAACGATAAAAACAATGCAAGCTGAAGGGAAAACAATGCATACACTGATGATACGGCCCCAGGTCTCTCCAACAACACATGGTTCAGCCGCAAATGCTACAGAACACAAACGAACGCTGTGCAAATGCCAACAAATGACCAGTACGCTAACAGCACGCCTGCAAAAACGCTACTGACAGATCAGCTCCTAGTCGTTAACTATGTTAAATTCCATTTAACAATGTTATATCTTAATATTAGTCCCTTCACAACCTCCTAGTGGCTTAACTGTGGCAGCCAGCAATTTTACCAGTGTTTTAGCTTCGTGGCAGTTACCACCCAAAGAGTCCAGACATGGAATTATCAGAGGATATAAACTGTTTTACAGAGATACAAATGGTGGCGTGGACTCAACGGTCGAGCTACTCATCCAGGATGCAGCAATTCGGTCCACATCCGTCACTGGGCTACAATCTCATACAGATTATGAGTTTCAAGTTTTAGCCTTCACATCTGTTGGTGATGGACCAAAGAGTTCTGTGAAAGGCGTAGAAACAACTTTTGGTGGTAAGACACTAATTTCATTAGCACCCTATGGGAATTTCTTTACCTTAAAGGTAATTATTGTTTTACATAATTAACAAAGTTAAGTGCAATTCCTACAGCACTTTATTAATTTCTTAAGGTTTTTTTAATTATAACTTCTTTTTTAGCACCCGGTCCTCCTCCTTCCTTCAATCATACCCTTAAAACACCAACTGAGTCGCAGGGACCAATGATAACTTTATCCTGGACATCACCTTCACTATCAAATGGAATTATTAGGAGCTACACTGTGTTTTACCGCCACAGTGAAGATCCACATAACGTTCACCATCAGAGATTTGGACCAGATGTGTTTAGTCACACAGTTGATGTGTTGGGTGGCATCACCTATTGGTTTGAGGTCAGAGCTGAGACATTACATCCTGGAAAAAATGCCTCTTTAACTGTTGATGTCCCAGAATATAGTAAGTGCAAAACTCTGTTTTCCGTATTTTATCGATGTTCCTGAAAATTAAGATTCACATTACCGGTACATTTATTTCAGTCTGTTTTGGTGTGGTGAAATAATTAAATGAAATTTTGATAAAACCACAAAACAGAAGTTGGGTATATAAGATTAAAAAAATTTATTGGAATGAACTAAGATGAACGAGGGTGATTATGGACGAAGAAAATTAACACAGGTTGGTAACAACATGCTTAGACCCTATAAACTTCCTAGGACACGATTTTTAACTTTTGACTGAATTTTTTTCTCTTAGAACCAAGGGGTGGCCCAGCTAATGTGTTACCTGCTGAGGTGAACAAGACCACCTTTAACATTTCATGGCCACTTCTATCAAGAGAACTGAGCAATGGCGACATCATTCTGTATAACGTCAAAGAAGAATTGTTGTCTCGGGGAACACGACTTAAAAGAGCTTCTCTGACCAGCAAAACAGTTAATACAACAAATACATTCATTTTATTGAGTGGATTATTGCTTTGTTCGCAATACCAAGTGTCTGTTCGAGCTTATACCAAAGTAGGACCCGGTCCATATGGTCCACCTGTAGAACTACCGACAACAGCAGGTTAATAAATATTGTAACACCACAATTTCACTATAAAACCCGGTGTGAAACTTTTAATATGCCAACCTGAGATATCTCATTTTCTTCTGAACTCAACCGAGCACATGGTTATTGCGCCATACGTCACGTGACTTACAATAGCTACTTAGGGGGTTACCCATGAACAATCGCCTAACGCTACAATATGATATACATCAAAATAGCTCTCTTAGATTCATTGAAGTAAAATCAAAATCACATTATACACTTTGGAAAATAAGAATATATGATAATATCACATATGCATGGAACCAACGAAAGCAGAAACTTTAGGTAAAAACATGTAACTAACATGATCCATACAGTCCTGCACACCTACTTTAGAAACACTCAAGTCACATCAGTCACATTCCGATTGCACGAGAAGTTAACAAGTTTCGGAAAATATTTTTGGCGATAAGATTTGGAAACTGAAGAATGTAATATCGTAATATCTTTACCAAGAATCGCTTTTACTTCGCTTTCTTATTAGGAGCGTCATATTTTCTTCAATACTCAACCACTTTAATTTTTCTCAAAGACCCAGGAACACCATGGGGGTTGAGTGCTTCAAACGTTGGAACAACGCAAGTAAGACTACAATGGAAAGAGCCTGAGCGTACTCCGAAAGAAGACATCAGCTATACAGTAAGCTGAACGATTTATTTTTTTGAACTTTGTGTTGTATTTAAAGTGCACCTAAACCCAAAAATTTTTTTCGCTTACCAAACTAAGCGTATTTTTTGGAGTATTTCTATGCAAAAAAATTTTTATTTGCTCAAATCTTTAATTTTCTGTGCCCAGTCAAAATACGGAGAATCGGCCGCCATCTTGGCTCACGACCGAGTTTAAAGAGCAATGGTTCTAGCGGGTAATGTGACGTCAAATCGAGAACACGAAAGTCTGCATTTCGCACATTTTCACTTGTTTGGGAAGGTTGTCGTCGATATTGTCCGAAATATTCCGACTAGGTGTGTTGTATGAGGAATGTATGAAGCGCGATACCCTCTTGATTAAAAGCTATATTTGCCTCTGCGGTTATTAGAGTACATTTTTCTACACTAATCTGATGAATTCAGTAACTATTAGAGGAAAATAAACCAAATTAGGGTTTATTTATTTATTATTTGTTCAATATTTTTCAATGAATCCTTGATAGTTTAAGGAAATAGGTTTTGTTATTTCTTCGGGGCTGATCGGTAAGGTTGCTTTGTATTTGCATTGCTTTTCTCTTAATCCCTTTCATCCCAACATCAGTTTGCATCTCTTTACGTTTCCTATGGTACTCACTTTTTCTAATAATCAAGAGCTTGTTCAGTTGGTGATCATTTTCTTCATCCTTCTGACCTTAATGCTTCATTCAGAGGTGACGCTGTTTGGAGACATGAGACCCTAATCGCTCCTAAGGAGAAAAAGGTTTAAAGCAAAACTGTTAGTTTTTTTCTCTTTTTCTTCTCAACGTCAGAATCTCTTCTCTCTTCATTAATTATTTCGATGGTGCTTTATTTGACAAAATTTTTTGTTTAATAAGGTGAAGTATCTCGGAACAAAGCCTTACAATGAGAGTTTTCGAGAGGAAGGTTTTCAAGATGTGGGTAGTTCCACTTCCTACACTATGAAAGGTTTAGTTCCGGGTTCTATCTACAAGTTTCAGATTATTGTAAGCTCTGTATGTGGACTCGGAGTATCCAAAGGATTTCCCAATAGGGTGGAAACAGAGATGACAGGTAGACATTTTCTATTCTAAAGTCGGTTAGAATTTCAGTATCATTGTACGAGACGTACTCCTTTAAAACATAGAAAAATCCTTTAAAACACATAGATAATATTTCCAGTGCCTTGGATATCTGGTGAAATCATTTCAGAGTCGGAATTTACCTGGCACATGCAATTGGAGTTCACAGTATCTTTCTTTGAATTAGCATGGTAGGCAGACGTATCAGTACTTAAAAGAGCTTAATAGTTTTCAAAATTGAAGAGTCCTTTTTGATTGCGTCTCGTAAAATCAGACCATGAATAGCCTCTGAATGTAGAGACAAGGAATCCTTTCACAACTTTAACATGGAAACAAAAATGGCGAGTAAGAAAAAAGGATTATAAACCAAACAGAAGTATGATATTGAACATATCATTTCATTAATATAAGTGTTAGGGCCGAATTGTTGGAATATCGTCAAGAACAATCTGCCTAAATATATATTGACATTATCCCCGAACAATCCCTGGTTTATGAGAAATTTATTAAGCGACTGTTGTCAGGCTTTGGCCCATATGAACGTTGACAAGTACCATGTTATTCCTGTCAGCTCAATTGGTACATGGTTTTATTGAGTATTTTACAGTCTAAAGCTACATTACGAATAGATACAATCTTACTTTCTGGTAAAATTGTGCTAATTTTACCCACAAATTACACAATTTTCCTTCGCAGCTCCAATGGCTCCATTTCTAATTCAGTGGACCAATGTGGAAGTCTCCGAGTTATCGGTCGAAATCGATCTCTGGCCTGTAGAACAAAGAAATGGTCCAATAAGGTGACTATAGAATAGAATGTGATATAGAATTACTAGGTGCAGTATTACGTGAGCGGCTTCTATTTGTATTCCACTCACTCTAAATTTTTTTGTATACTAATGGTACCCATGTCGGTTTATGAACTTAACTCTAAACGACGAGAAAGAGTAAGTGTCATATTGTTGAACGCTTTCGCTCCCAAAAGTGATTGAAAATAACCTCTCCCTATCATACAATAGATTATTCTGCAAACAGGTAATGGTCAATAAATGAAGTAATAGTTATTTTTGATGAGTAAGCTTTACGACTTTCAAGAAAATGTGAAGGAACTTAACAGAGTATACATGTAGACTCTCTTGTTTGAACCCTAGCTCTAAGTCAAAAGCTTTTCATGTCCATAACTCTTAGAAGACGATGGAACGATTGTCATAGTTTCACTGATAAGAATTTCTTTCTTATTCAATATTTTAGTGCTTATCAGGTGATTGTTCTGAAAGTCTGTGATTGTTATCAAGAGCTTTCCAGAGACTTTCATTTAAAGCTGAAAGATTTGAATAGAAACAACGACACTTTTTATCCATTTTACGTTGCTGCGGAAATTAAAAATAATCCTGTGCACGATAAGTCTTGGAAATTTAAGGTTGGTGACGGGAAGTCATATGGAGCCTTTTTTAACAAAGAACTGACAAGAGGAGAAAGCTACATTGTCTACCAAAGAGCCCTAACCAATCACAACAGTGTAAGTATATTTTACTTTCTTCAAAATAAGATAAGTAATCCAAACGTTAGACTGGATTAAAGCAATAGAACACATTTTTTCGGGCTCTATAACAGAAAGCCACCCAGGATGTTGGGAGAACACGCCGAGGAAAGCTTATAAATCACGAGCCGAAGGCATTGTAACATTCAAAGAGGCTTTATCACGTTTTAGAACCCGGATCTGTATCTGCATGGAGACTGAATTAACCAGTCAGAAATGCATACTATTTTCATTATGTTATAAAAGTAGATAATATTTTCTGGGGAAACCATGATGTCACTGATTGTTTGTCAGGACTAGATGTTTTTTCCTAATATCAGGGAGTCAAAAGAAGTATTAGTTACTTTTTGGGTATGTTTCTCAGCAAATTTTAGAGGGAGAAGTCAGCAAAATCGCCATGATTTCTATTAAACCAGGTAAGCGATTCAATTGTCACTTGATACTTAGAAGCCTTTCTTTTCAAAAGCGAAAATAATTACTATGAGTGATTAAGGACCTTCGGTTGGTAAATTAATAGTTTGAACAGTTGAAGTTCTCTACTTTGGTTGCATGGGTAGGAAAATATCTAACAAATTCGCTTCTAGGGTTAATGTTTCCCGAAGAATCCTGATGTACCACATCCACCAGCTTACTTTGCATATTGTACAACACAGTTACAGTAACTTCCTTGTTCTTATTGTATATCATTTCATTTTCACCGTGACTAAAAATCGTCTAATTTAATTAATGAACAGCAAACACGTGTTTCGTCGAAATTCAGCTGTATGGCACATATAAACATTTGCGATAGCGTTGGTCAAGTGGACATAATAAGTTGTCCTTAATGTTTAGGTCTCATCCCCTATCAATATTCAATCGCAGACTTTTGCAACTATTATCTTTTCCTTTCAACATGCAGGGCCACAGTGTATAACTCAAGAGACAAAAGGAGAAAACTGTAAGTATTATTGATATCTCAGTGGTAGGGAGGAAGAGGCTGACGACCTTTGAGCTAGGTGACTTTTTGATCAATTCGAAAATTTGTATGTAAAGGGCGATCATTGGAAAGAAATGTTTTTATAATATTGGTGGAGGATTAAAAAAAGTCTCTTGAAACAATGTGAGTGGTCTTTTCTGTCTCTGGGTAACATGGGTGATCATGATGTTTTAACGTTCTGGAAAATAAGTCCATTTTCATTGCTTGAGTGTGAGGGACAAAGTCTTGCAAAAGTGCTTAAAATTGTGTCATTTTGATTTACAGCTGAAAGCCAAGTCCTCCTTGCTGCTGTCATCACTCTTTCTTTCATTGTTTTTCTCTGTCTTGTTTTAAATGGTACACTGATATGGCGATTAAGACAAGCTGAGTCTAACAAAAGAACAAGCATAGTAGACAGTGGTACCCCTCAAGTCCACACTGGTGTTTGTCAAGTGTCAGAGCCTGGTGTTTATATGGAACTACAACCCAAGCCTTCCGATAGCCAGTCACGTGAACCACCTGAATACCAGTCATTGCAGGACAGACGAGTGACTCCAGATTACTACAATATGGAGTTTTTAGAAGGACGCTCGAATGACAAGGGATTAGTTTATGAGAATATGGAGTGAAATGTCCTCCACGTGGAAAAATGTGTGGACCATCCCTAATTAAGGCGATCCGTGGTGTTAGTTAAGTGAATCCACATGAAGTTCATTGTAGTGTTGTACCGCTGTTACTTCACCACACATGTTGATTTTTTCTCAATTTGAAATGATAATTTTTATGCCATAGGTATAGCAGTAATTAAATCACCTGGATTTATGAAATATTCTTAAAAGTATGTCCTGTTCGCTTTTATTATTAAAGCCTGTTCCTAGTTGAGGTTAGCCAAATTTTAAGCAGTTCATCGCTTCTATGTAGTCAACGCAAATTATCCTTTCAGTTTTTTTTTTTTAATAATAATTTTTACAGGTTATCAAAGTAGTTAAGTTTAGTAAATAAAGCGATGCAACCTAATTAATTCAATCGGTTTGTCACATTCCCTTGTATTCGTTTGAAAAAGCTCGGCATCGACTAGTAAACAATAAACTATTTTACAACCATAACGGAGTATTTTTAGCGTTTAAACATAAATTATAATTGAAATGTTAACGTGGCTGTGGAAATATTTCAAGGGAAAACGTTTTCACTTGAATGATATGAAACCCAAGAACTTTGTACGAACATAGTACAACGAATGAAAATGTTTAACAATAAGAAAAAAGGGATGATTGTATTTACCAATGTAGGAAAATATAACTGCTGTTTTATTTAACCCTCTACACTCTAAGTTTAGTTAGCACACTCCATATTGTTTTCTGGGTTACACTAAGGTGCTGACAAAGAAAGATTTGCTGAGCAATCAAGTAATACTTGAATTAGTTATCATTTCCTTTATTCTCGTGAGCTTAATTTTTGATTGCGAGGTGTTACCGCAAGAGGAAATCAGATGTTAGTCACTTTTAGAGACTAAAAGGCTAGCCCACAGTGATCAGAGACCATCATTTTAAGCGCCAAGTAAGGGAAATAATGTTTTACCTCTGTTTTCCGCAAGGTTTTTTTAAATTTGTTTTCCCTTCTGCTCGTCATTCAGCGTCACATCAACTTTAACCTGTCCCTTCAATCTGCGCTTTTTTAATAAATATGCTCGTTGACACTTCAACTCCCAAATATGATCCAAATGTACCTTTTCTTTCCGGTATCACCGATTGTCCAACGATGATGCTTCGTATAAACTCAAAAAAGAGGTTTTAAGTTAAATTTGGGACGAATTTTATAAAAGGCTAGGGGCAGTTTTAGTGACAACTATTACTAATAATAATGGGGTTAAAATGAGTTAGCAATGAACAATCCACGAGGCAGCTATTCTTGTCCACTTTTCCGAAATATCCAGCGG